CTCGAGTCCTTGCACACACTTTGTACATCTCTTTTCACCATGACCATGTCTAGAGTCTTGTGTGCGTTTTTTCTGTCATTTTTTTAGGGGGGTAAGTCGGATATTATGCTCCAAACATAAAACATGTTGCTTGAAAACTTGTCTCCCATACTTGATTCACACAAAATATGCACCCATTTTTTTCTTTTTAACCCAGTAAAAGTACGAGTCGATTCGAGTAAAGTCATTATAAGAGTCATTGGTTTAATTTTACAGCGTTTGGTCAAGGAGAGAAGGACGCTTAATCAAAGACAACACCTTTATACGGGTACTCCTTTTCCAGAGTCCAGTTCGAAAAGAAGAAAGATAAGAATGGAAGCTGGTCAAGAAGATTTTAACAAACTCCAACAAACAGTAAATGGCCTTGGTGAAATTCTCAAGGGACTTAGTACCCGAATCGAGAAGGCTGAGGACTCTAATAAGCAAGTACCAGTTGAGACAATCAAGCGCATTGAAGATGACTTAAGTCAAATCTCTAATGACTACAAATACCTTGGAATAAGCTCTAAGGGGATCTCAGTGGATAAGGAACTTTTTCCGTAAAAGTTCTCTGCCAATGACATCCCTAAGTTCAAGGCTACTGACAACCCTTACTTTCACTTGAAGGCTTTCGTGACAATCATGGAAATTAAGGGCATCGACAAGAATGTCTTCCCTTCAATTTTCTCTCTTTCACTTGAACCAATATGTCAACAATGGTTCTTTTCCATAGGTGCTGAGAAAATTGCCACTTAGGACAATATTACATATGATTTTATTGATAGATACAAATGTAATATTCAAGTAAAAGTTGATCATAGAGTGCTTGAAATTCTCAAGCAAAAAGAAAATGAAGGCTTTACTCCATTTTACAATAGATGGAAGGAAACTTCCACTAGAATGATTGAAGTTCCAAGTGAAAAAGAATCCGTAAGGATGTTCATTAAGAATCTCCAAGAGAAATATCAAAAGCATTTGAAATATCAATGCAACTTGAGTACTTTCAAAGATGTCTACAACATAGGGATTGAAATTGAAGATCGATGACCTTACGAAATTGAAAGCTGCTAACAATAGTAACAATAGTGGCTGGAAAGGAAAAGAAGAACGAAAATCCTTCTTCTTCCAAGAACACCAACTTTAGTAACAATGGTAGTACCTTTAACCTCAATGATATCTTAGCCATGGATAACCAAGGGCCAAGAAAGCAACTAAGGAAAGAGTTCATCCCTATTGGGATTAGCTATGACACCCCTTTGATCGACTCCATGCCAAAGGACTTATTACTCCCGTTGGACCTATGCAAGATCCTGCACCTGAAAGGAGATCAGCCAATTGGAATCTAAACGCACACTACAAATACCATCAAGGTAGGGGCCACTCTACTGAAAGTTGTTGGAAGTTAAAAGAAGCTATCCAATATTTGATTGATAACAACAAACTTCCAGTGCCTCCTGCTAGTAAGAAGCCACGTATCAATAATTCTCCACTTTCTGATTCCTTGGCAATTTTTGATGATCAAGATCCATTAGATCCATCACTCATTATTAAGCCTATTGAAAATGGTTCTATGGAAGAAGTCGATGCCCTTGAAGAAGAAGAGAAAATTTTCTTCGATGCCATGACTGATTTCCAAGATGAGACTACCAAAAAAGATATTGCTAGTCCCTCCCAAAACCCTATCAGTGTAGATATGGCTGGTATTTGTGATGCTCTTCAAGAACTAAGTCTTGAACTTTAAATTCTTTTTAGGAAGGTAAATAAGCTAAAAAGTAATCCTATTTTTTAAAAGAAAGTGTGACTCCTCTTCTTCCTCTCATAAACCAAATACCTGGGGAAGAAAGCCATTTATTTTCAACGTTGTTGAGCCTCAAGTGAAAAGGAACAAGAGGGCTTACACACCTATAGGCACTACTTATGAAAGAGCCTTTTACGTGCTCCTCGACAGGGGTATGGTCAAGTCTCTCGAACCATAGCCATTTGAGTCCCTTACAAAAATGGATAAACTCTACTGCAAGTATCATCAATCTGGAGGACATACAACTGAAAACTGCTTCAAGTTTAAAGAATAAATTCAAGGACTCATAGATAATGGGCAACTTTTCATCAACATCCCGAGAATGGATATCAGTGGAATTTGGGACAATGATGCCGATATCAATGGAATCTGGGACAGTGATGACGAGGATGTATACCTCAAGGACATGGTTGAATCACCACTTGCTGCACTTTACCCACTTGAAGACAATGATGACATATGGGATGAGGACTCCCTAATCACTGTGCTTACAAGATCTGGGAGATTGCAACCACCAGTCACAGTTGTGCCTGTACCTATAACTCAACAACCTCCAACACCTATCATAGAAGACAATGACATTGTCAAGCAGCTCAAAAAGACTAAGGTAGAGATGAATGTTTTGGAAACTTATGGCCTCATCTCATGAACATAGAGTTGTAGTGATGGATGCTCCAGCAAAGGTGGGAATAGATTCCGAGACTACTCTAGAAGGGTTGGCCAACTTCCTCACAAGTGACCTCCCTGGTCCAAATAACTTGATCACCTTTTCTGACAAAGACCTACCACCAGAAGGTGATAAGCACAACAAAGCCTTGAACCTAACAGTGGTGTGCAAAAGGATGAATATGCCAATGGCCCTTATAAACAATGGTTCAGCAGTCAATGTATGCCCACTTCGCACCGCCAGAATGTTGGGAATAAAGGATGAAGACTTGACTCCATCCACATAAGGCATGAGGGCCTATGGAAACACTTGTTGCCAAGCTCTTGGAACCATCACTATAAAATGTTACTGCATGAGTCATTGAACATAGAACTACTTTTCAGGTAGTAGATATCAAAGATTCATTCATCCTATTGTTCGGACGCCCTTGGCTCCACGACCTCAAAGATGTCCCTTCATCTCTCCACCAATAAGTAAAGGCTATAGTTGGAGGAATTCCTATTACAATCGATGCCTCCCCCATGAGAATCAAAGCGATTGACAAACCAATCATTCATGTGGAGCACGATGAGCATGACGAAGATTTGTGGGGCTTCAATGCCGAAGAGGTCTCTTTTATCGAAGAAGATGAAAAGACCCTTCTTGGCTATAGCCCCCACTCGAATCTCGTTGTTAATGCAATTCTTAAGAAACAAGGACACTTTCCTGGGATGAATTTAGGAAAGAAGAAAGAAATAGCTAAGTGTATGGGACTACCTAGCCTCCCTAAGAGGGATACTTTTGGGCTCGAATTTAACCCAACTCCAAAAGACCTCAAGCAAGCCTTGGAAAAGTCCAATGCACGAAGAAAAGCTCGTACCCAGAAAGATGCAATGCCAATAGACCCATACCCTCTCACTCTGTATGAACAATTTATAAAAGAGGGAGAAGACTACCCATGCTACGAATTCCCTAAACCACTCGTCAGGAATGGTATACGCCTGCCTGGGTTCGAAATCTTCTTGGATTGCAACTTTCTAGATGAGATTCCCGCTCCTACCTATAATGAACGAGCACCTCCATGCTTTGACTTCAACGTCATGTGTCTTCTCTTTGGATACGAGAAAAATGAGCCTAAGTGTATCGACGACAACTCTACTCTTATACAGACTGTAATACAAAGTGAAAACTTCGACCCCTCCAAGGTCATCACTCCAGCAAAAGGACTATTCCAGGGATGGCACAAGACTGTGAGATTGACTACGCTAAATGGAAGAAAGTTATCTATAACTACAGGAGAAGGCCCCATGTTTGATGAGTCTGAGTCGTTTGAGTCTGAGTCTTCTATCATTGAGTCTTCTAAGTCTCTTGTGGTTTCACCCCCTACCATCAAACCTAGCTTTCCCTACAGACCTTTCTCTTTTTAATGTAATGAATCAAGAATCTAATAATATGACTTCGTTCGCTTACTCCTCGCGTTACTCCCTCACCCAAGATGACGAGTATTGCTTTGCTAATAATGAAAATGACAAATAAATAATTAAAACAATGGAAGCACTTGAGAATAAAATGGCGATAATTGAAAAAATTGAAAATGTTAACATCTCAAAAGATCCCACCATTAAAAGAGAAGTTAAAATTTGCTTAACTCTAAATCAAGAAGAAAGAGCTGAATTAATAAATCTACTTGTTGAGTTTATCGATGTCTTTGCTTGGTCATATGAAGATATGCCGGGTATAAGCAAAGAAATTGCTTAACATACCATACCGCTAATTCCAGGATTGAAACTTGTGAAGCAAAAGTTACGTCAAATGAAATCTGACGTAGCACTTAAGATAAAAGAAGAAGTTCAAAAACAAATAACTGCAGGTCTTATCAAGGTATCCAAGTATCCAGAATGGGTCGCCAATGTGGTACTGGTTCCTAAGAAGGATGGTAGAGTAAGAATGTGTGTCGACTACAGGGATCTCAACAAGGCTAGCCTAAAGGACACTTTCCCTCTAACACACATCAACATTCTAGTAGATAACACATCCAATCACGCACTTCTCTCATTTATGGATGGGTACGCAAGTTACAACCAGATTCTCATGGCAGAAGAAGAAATGGAAAAGACTACCTTCATAACACCATGGGGCACTTACTGTTACACGGTGATGCCATTCGGGTTGAAAAACGCGAGTGCCATATACCAAAGAGCAACAACTGCCTTACTTCATGACATGATGCATATAGAAGTCGAGGTGTACGTGGACGATATGATTGTAAAATCTAAGGATCACCCTGTTTACCAAATAGCCTTGAGAAAATCCTTCGAAAGGCTTCGTAAAAACAACATGAGGCTAAATCCAGCCAAGTGTGCATTTGGGGATACCTCAGGGAAGCTTTTAGGCTATGTCATTAGCTCTAGAGGAATTAAAGTAGACCCCACTAAAATCAAGGCTATCATGTCCATGCCACCGCCCAAAAACGAGAAGCAAATTCGAGGATTCATTGGCCGGTTGCAATACATAAGTAGGTTCATATTAAAACTCACCATGGTGTGTGAACCAATATTCAAGAAACTCAAGAAGAATGTACCAGTGGTATGGGACGATAAGTGCCAAGAATCCTTTGACAAGATCAAAGCCTACCTTGTAAATCCTCCTGTACTGGCGCCGGCACTACCAGACATTCCTCTTCGTCTATACTTGACAGTTACCAAAGAAACAATGGGGGCTATGCTTGCACAAGAAGTGGAAGGTAAGGAGAATGCCATCTACTACTTAAGTTAGAAGATGCTTGAATATGAAGTCCGCTACACACCACTTGGGAAGCTGTGCCTCACACTTGTGAGGGCCATAACGAAGTTAAGACATTACATGCTCGTTCACACAGCCCATTGGTGTCCCGAATGGATCCTCTCAAGTATCTCTTTGAGAAATCCACACTTAATGGAAGAATATCAAGATGGATAGTCAACTTAGATCAATTCAACCTAAGGTTCATGCCTCAAAATTCCATTAAAGGATCCGCAGTCTCTAATTTCTTAGCAGATTTCCAATTGAAGACTCAACACGGGTCCAAGAAAACGATTTTCCAAACGAAGAATTAATTGTTACTGAGGACGACACTTGGACACTATACTTTGACGGTGCATCCAACCAAAAAGGATGTGGCGTAGGAGTCTTATGAGTGTCACCAAAGGAAGAGCATATCCTAATTTTAATAAAGCTTGACTTCGACATTACCAACAATGCTGTGGAGTATGAAGCATGTGTGGTAGTCCTCGAAACAGCATTATCACTAGGAGTCAAAAAGCTTCGAATATTCGGAGATTCATCCCTTATCATCAATCAAATTTCCAAGAGGTGGAAGGTAAGGAGTGAAAGTCTCGCTCCATATCAAACCTACTTGGAAACTCTCACTGATCAACTCATAAAGGTAGAATACACATATTTACCAAGAGAGGAAAACCAATTTGTTGATGCCTTAGCAATACTAGCCTCGATGGTTAGGATTCCTAAGAAGGTTGAGCAAATGCCTCTAACCATATAAAAAAGGCATAAGCTTGCCTATGTTCAAGCTCTCGAGGATGAAGAAAAAGTCCAAGAAGATGAAGAAGAACCATGTTACACAAACATTCTCAATTATGTCACCAATGGGGAATATCCACCTAATATTGACAAAGAGCGAAACGTGCTTTGAGACTCTTAACCTCACAGCTCGGTTACTCATAAACGGTGAACTTCACAAAAGGGTACCTAAAGGTAGAGCTCTCTTATGCGTAGGAAAAAAGGAGGGCACAAAAGGCAATGAGAATTATCCACGAGGGAGCAAGTGGAACACATATGAATGGTAAAATGTTAGTCCAGAAGGTCATACGTCAAGGCTATTATTAGACTACCATGAAAAGTGATTGCCATCAATATGTGAAGAGATATTTAAAATGCCAGATATATGCCAATTTGCAGCACGTTCCACCTTCTCTTCTTTACACTTACACATCTCCATGGCCATTCTCAACTTGGGGAATAAATATCAATGGAAAGATCACTCCACCCAGATTAGGAGGCCATGAATACATCCTCGTTACCATCGATTATTTCACCAAATGGGTTGAAGCGGCATTGTACGCAAAACTCAAAGCAAAGCATGTGTTCATCAAAAGGAACATCATACGTAGGTATGGAGTCCCACATGAAATGATTAATGACAATGGTACTCACTTTCAAGCGAAGTGTGAAGACTTACTTAAAAAGTATGGTATTCAACATCATCACTCTTCTCCACATAGACCTGAAGCAAATGGTGCAGTAGAAGCAGCAAATAAAAATTTTAAGATAATCATCGAGAAGATGACAAAAAATTACAAGGATTGGCCTGACAAACTCCACTTTTCTCTTTGGGGTTATCGGACGTCAATCCGCTCATCCACAGGAACTACGCCGTTCTCACTAGTATATGGAATGGACGTCGTACAACCTGTAGAGTTAGAAATACCTTCCTTGCGCATAGCATTGTAAAATAAACTTGATGAGGTTGAGTGGACAAAAGCACGATATGAAGAGCTAGTTCTACTCGATGAAAAGCGGTTATAAGCCTTGCATCATGTTCAATGCTACCAAAAACGTATGGCTAGATACTTTAATAAAACGGTCAAGGCAAGAAACATCAAGGAAGGAGACTTGGTGTTAAAAGCACTTAGAAAGAATGTTTCTGGATCCAAGAGGAAAATTCAAGCCTAATTGGTCTGGACCATACATCATCAAAACCATCCTATCTGGAGGCCCAGCTAAGTTAACAGATATGGACGGCAATAAGTTCTCCAAAATGACAAATCTTGACCAACTCAAGAAGTTCTACCCATGATCTAATGAGTTCCGTACTTAAGAGAGCTACGTTTGGCCTGATTCTTTAATAAGGATATGTAGGCAACCCTTCCGTAGGGTGCGACCACTTTAAAATTTCAAAATCCCGCATTTGAACGCAATAAATCGACACAAAATTGCAAAAATCAAGTCGAAGCTTCAGCATTGCAGCAAATCAGACTTTAGCGCGCCGCGATAGGACCATCGCACCGCAATAGAATCATCGCGCCTGGATGGACCCATTGCGCCGCGACAAAAATTTGTTTCCCACCGAAGCACTTGCGATTAATTGCAATATTTTTCAAACAATTTCGAAAATTTTCCGACTTCCGTATTTGGATTATTTTGAAATCGTTCAAGTTGTTTTCATTGCTTAAGAAAATTATTATTCACTACAAAAAAAATGTCCATATAGAAATGGAATTCTAGTGATGGAATTCAATCCGTTTCTAAATTAGAGACGGAATTAAAAAATCTGTCTCTAAATTAATTAAGTGACGGAATTAAAAAATTCATCTTTGAATGAGAGACGGAATTGAAAATCTGTCTCTAAATTAGAAATGGATTTTATATTTTTCCGTTGCTAAATTAGTAACGAATTTTTTTTTTCTGTTGCTAAATTTAGAGACGCATTTTTTTTCCTTTGCTAAATAAGAGATGGATTTTTTTTTCCATTGCTAAATTAGAGACGTATTTTTTTTTCCTGTTGCTGATATGGGCGACGGATTTTAAATTTCATCTCTAAATTATTTTCGAAACAAATTATGTAAAATATTACTTTAGAGAGGAATTATGTAAAATAGAAACGGATTTTCAAATCCGTCTCTAGTTTAGAGACAAATTTGAAAATCCTTTTTTAAACTAGAGACGAATTTTAAATTCTGTCGTTAATATTTCTTTCATTTATTATCAATTATGTGCGTAGAAGTAAACAAATTATATTTGGTATAGTTGGTTAGAGTTTTACTATGTGACTTTGAGGTCACGGGTTCAACTCCTACCAATTGCAATTCCTAAAATTGGGGATTCAAGGAGCCTTACATTCAAAGCCGAGTCGGGTTGAGCCGATTGAGGTTGAACCAAATAGCGGATACTTTTAGACCCAAAATATTTTTTTTCCGTTGCTAAATTTAGCCACAGATTTTTTTTTCCATTGCTGATATGAGCGACAATTTTTTTATTTTTTTTTCCGTTGCTAAATTTAGAGACGGAATTTTTTTTTGCCATTGCTAAATCTAGCAACAAATTTTTTTTCCCGTCTCTAAATCCATTTAGCGACAAAGTTTTTACCAGTGGAGTGATTCTGTCGATATCCATAGCTAGCTATGTTCTGCGAAGGATTTTTAGAAATTAGCAACGGATCTCACCTGTCGCTAAAAGGCCAAATTTTTGTAGTGATTTCTAATAAAGGATTATTATATAAATATAGTTAATTTATTTGAAAGATAAAAATTGCATTAATAATTGAATTGAAATTGAAATTACATTATTGATGATTTAAAGGCTTGAAAATAAAATTAACTTGAAATTAAGATTTGTCTAATAAAATTAAAGGCAAAGCAATACTCTAAGTCTAATCTTCCTATTCCTTTCGAGCCCTTTTCCAGTTCTTGTCCGTGTCTTCATCTTCCGACAATTCCTTCACCAAGAGTGAACCTTTAGAAGAGCAAACTGAAACCTTAGAGGAAGAAGTTTTCCCTTTAGCAAAGATCCCCACCTTTTTCTCAACCCAAGCCTTCTTTTCCTTCTTTATAGGAATAGCCTTCCTTTTTCGTTTGCTCTCCATGACACCCTTTTTCTTAGGCATGATAGGAGTCTTGAATTCAACTTTTGAACCCAGACGATCTTTAGGAGGAGCCTTCTTGCCCCCTAGACGGTCTTTAATGTTGCTCCTCCCTGCACCCTTGGAATTTAAATTTTGAGCCTTGTTCTTGTCCTTTTGATTTCGAGCAAGTAGCCATTGTTTATATTCGCGAGACAAAGGAGGAAGAACCCTATTAGAAACAATATTCCATAATGGTCTGCCGTACCAATTATCGTCGAACCTCTAAACTTCTTTGATATAGAATACTCATGAGGACGACGATCATAACCAGAAGGGATAATTTGAGCAAGTCCATACTGCCTCATCACTCTAGAAGGGAAGTAAAAAGTCAACTTTGATAAGCTTGGGATGCGAAAAAAGGCTTGAGTATTAACTCCATTCATCTTCTCAGTTTTCCACCAGGGTACAACCCACTTGATAGAGAAATCGCGAGCTTTAAATATCTTGCTCCACCCCCGACGTCCCATCTTTAAGGAAAATCCCTTCTTCCTTCTCACAAGGCAATTAGGAGTATAATTTTCAATGTTATCCGGAGGGTTGATTAATCCAAGCCTTTCCATTAGCCAAATCTGCAAGAATAAAGAATAATTGTTTATTACACTACAAAATTAGATATTTTGATTTCTGCAATTAAAAGTATTGATTTTCTGTAATAATATTGGAGATCCTCGAATTGGTGCTTTGGGATCTTTTTTCAATTCATCTAAACTCATCATTGTTTCCCTAACTATGAAAGGCATTGATTTCTTCCAGCATCAACTTGCTCCATGACTTATGCTAGTATAGCTTGACCCGTATGGCTACTACCACTACTGAGTAAGAATTGACTATACACGTAGAATAGAAAAGCTCTCCTTCTATATTTGTGAAAAGAATAAGACTTAGGTCCATTAAAGAAAAAAGATGCAAATTTTCTTAGATCTACTTCTTTTCCATGAACTATAGATTTCAAATCGATTTCCCTAAGATTATAAAAATGCTCAAAATCCGTGTAATAATATTCTCATATTGTGGGGATTACGGCAAGATGCAAAGAGGGAAAGCCAAAAATAGCACCTAACTCTTCAGGCAGGGGGCTAATTTCGTCGTTTCCTAGCCTAAATTAGTTAGTGTTGGGGTCCCAATATTCAATTGCCATATGAATAAAATCACTATCGAAATCTACAGACTTAATACCCAATAGACCATTCATGTTGAGGTATTTAAGCTCTTTTTTCTCACTGTTGGTCAAAGACCGACACCATTCGCGAGTAATCTCACAAAAGTTCTTAGACATGATTACTAGATTATGAAAGCTAGGAAGAATATAGAAGCTAATGACATGAATTATGCAGAGTATGACGAATTCGGGGGCTTTTTATAAACACAATTGAAGAGGAATTTGAGTTTTATTCAAAGCCGGATTTCCCAGAACTATCGTGCCGCGATAAGACCATCGCGCCGCGATGACCTGTTGCGCCACGATGGAACCTAACGTTCGTAATACAAAACACGACTGGTTGATTCTTTGATTTGACTTTGATTCAATTTCATGGTTTGATTATCCGGATATTTATCCAGCTTATTTTCACTTTTCCTACCTTATCCGAATACTGTTTACCCTTTCCTATGATATTTCAACCTTTTTAATTTCATCCTTATTGATTGGAATTTCTTTTAGGAATTTCAAATTAACTTATTTGTTCCCTCATTTTCTTTTTACATTTTTCTTTTAGGGGAGAAAGTCGGTTACCCTCCAATGATAATAAAAATGACTGATTTTTTTCGCAAAATTTGTCACAAAATCCCACACTCATACGCACATAAAAATAGTGTAAAAATGAATAGAGTCTAAACAGAAAACACATAACATATGAGTCTAAATAATGTACATAAATGTTGTAAAAGGCGATAAAATGAATAATACATAAGAAAAGTCTGAAATAGTCTAGAAAAGGGAAGAAATAATGTTGGAACACCTAGGGTGCTGGAGGACGAGGCTCCCGAGGAATGCCCATCGTATCATAGAAAAATGCAGACCGAGGAGTCACCAATTGAGTGGAATGAGCACCAACCGTCATGGGGATCACGAGCGCGGGACCAATCCACTGAGTGAACTGTGGACCTCCCTGAGGGCCATATTGCTGAAAGCTCCTGCCAGCAAGGGGAGTACGAGTAGGCTACTGCGACAACGAGCCAACCTCGTACGTCCCACTACCAAACTGAGACGATGGACAATCCTCGAACGCGCCCGAAACCACGTGAGGTCGAACCACTAGGGTACCAAAGCCAGGTGGGAACATCTCTGTCGACGAGGACCCGTGACTCGGGCTGTCACCATCATCAACCTCCGCCTGGCCAGACGTCTCCTGCTTGCCTGGGATCTCCAACGACGTGCGACGACGCCTTGCTCCTGCCAATCTCGAGCCCTCTAGCCTCAAATGAGTGCGTGATCGATGACTAGTCTGCAACAAAGTCAAAGAAATATGAGTTAAACCGTAAAAAAAAAGGCAAAATAGATAAACAAATAGGAATTCATAAAGACAAACCGGCGCGACATCCTCCGTACGTCGACATGACGCCCGATGGCTCCACCTCGCTAGCTAATATCAATAGGCGTCGATGACAGCTGCTATCCACACCATCACCTCTCAAGAGAGCTACAAAAATCAGATAAAATTAGGAAAAAAAAACAAAAAACAAAATGATACATGCATGAAACTAAAAAAAGAATAAAAGCTCACCTATCTCGTCGAGCGAGGGATAGATCGCTCCACCAACCACCACTCTTCTGGGGCTAGAGGGATCGTCTCCTCAATGGGACCGTGAACCCCCTGATAGCGAATGGACA